ACACGGTCACAGGAGTCCGAGGACGGGGCACGACTTGCGAGAGCTCTTGTCGGCGTCAGGAGGTGGCGTAGAGCAAGTCCAGTCGGTCATAGCTACACTGTCGTCGGAGGTCGGCGTCAGGAGATGACGTAGGGCGAGCCCAGTCTGCCTGAGCTATAGGCTTACGTCGGAGATCGCGAGGGCACAACCGGTCGGCACGGAATCCAGCGAGCGAGTCTTGATTTTAAATGCTAAGTTTTCCGTTAAAGCATACTACGTAGCATGTTTTGGTGCATGGCAACTTGCCGTAATATCGCTGCTTATGGGTAATGAGAAACAGAATAAGAAGCACATTAAGGCCTCACCGTACGTGTGCGTCGTAGCGCGTCTCCATTTGACGTGACGTCGAGCCCTTTCCCATGTGGAGAGAGAGAGAGAGCGTGCGACTTCGCGTAGCCACGCCCCCGCACTCTCGCCCGCGGCGCCGCGTCAAAAAGCTTCGCGCTGACGCGCTGCGACGGATACGTGGGGTCAGGCCTTTAGAGTAAGCTGCGTTCCGACGCAGTTTTCTGACGGTGTTAGCGGAGCTGGAACACCATGTCCGGTTTCAGGTTTGGTACCAGTAGAAAGAAATCAAACAAATCTATCTCAGAACACTGCGGTGAATTACCTCAGTGATGCGCTTCTTCTTTCTATTCTTCTTCTGTCTCTCATTTCCCATTGACAGCAATTTTGCTGTGCCAAACGTCGCCGCAGACTGTATGCTCCGCCTCTTGGCAGGTTCCACGTTGGTGGAGCTGAAACACCCTCCTCGACATGTTTAGCCCCTCCCCTGTTTTCAGGGGCGAAGCTCCTCTTAAAGTCTAACCTTGTCCTGCGTCAGGCGTAACCGGCAGTATCTCAAGAGTCGCGGCGGCTCGTGCTCGTCGCCGGACAGACGAACGGACGTTTCGCCCCGCTCATCATCATTCACTCCGTGGATATGCTGTGACTTTTATATGTGTTTTCGTGGACGACACTTCTTTTATTCATTTTATTTAACCACACTGTGTGCCCTCTCTTGAGCGTTGTTACAGGAAGGGCATAATAAATAACTCCACGCGCAAACACATAACGATGGCATACCAACAAGCAAAATTATAGTTGTCACAATGTCTGGCTAAAAATACCTGAAAATTATATACGTCACTTGTTTGCGTGGCTTCCTCTGGCAAACTGTTCCAGAAGTTAACGGCATCAAAAAAAAAAAAAAGAACACAACACGGGCCCCCTGTTGTGTCCTTTCTGACGTCTACCACGTTTTTTTCTTGCAAATGTGCGAACATGTCGATAGTGAACAAACGTGCGCAAGAGCAGGTGGCCCATTCCCTCCCTAGTCATCTTAGGAGGGAGAAGAGGCACAGAATCTGTTCCGTACTTTGACTTTAGTAGGAGGGGGGGGTGCTGCGATGAACATTTGCCCTCCCTCCCTCTCTGATGGGGAACCCTGCGCATACCTATGCCTGAGAACAAAAGAAATTGAGTGAACAGCGCTACTGCTTACGCTGAAAGGAGCTGCTTGTATAACAAAATTTTTAGGCGCAAACACCATAGGGTCTCGGCTTGTCACGTCATCGTAACGGTTCACCATTGAAGGTTATACGCCACGTAAATTGAGTGTCTCCCGCTATTCGCTACCAGTCCACTAAAACTGAAGGCAACAGCGTGCCAACAATGGTTGATGACGTATTTAATTACAGTAACGGATGAAAACAAATCTTTTAAATTGATTTTAAACACAAAGTGGTTATAAGAGAGAAAGGAAAAGTGAGCCCCGTAACTGTCTGCTTCAGCGAGCGACACCTCAACAGTAGCTCACAAGGGATGGGGATGAGGAGGGATTAAAAGGATATGAATAAAGGTGTAGAGAGAGAGAGAAAGAGGCGTGGGGTAAGCCAGAGAGCGACGACATATCGAGGGGATAGGAGAGATAGGAAAGATGGAAACACGGTCACAGGAGTCCGAGGACGGGGCACGACTTGCGAGAGCTCTTGTCGGCGTCAGGAGGTGGCGTAGAGCAAGTCCAGTCGGTCATAGCTACACTGTCGTCGGAGGTCGGCGTCAGGAGATGACGTAGGGCGAGCCCAGTCTGCCTGAGCTATAGGCTTACGTCGGAGATCGCGAGGGCACAACCGGTCGGCACGGAATCCAGCGAGCGAGTCTTGATTTTAAATGCTAAGTTTTCCGTTAAAGCATACTACGTAGCATGTTTTGGTGCATGGCAACTTGCCGTAATATCGCTGCTTATGGGTAATGAGAAACAGAATAAGAAGCACATTAAGGCCTCACCGTACGTGTGCGTCGTAGCGCGTCTCCATTTGACGTGACGTCGAGCCCTTTCCCATGTGGAGAGAGAGAGAGAGCGTGCGACTTCGCGTAGCCACGCCCCCGCACTCTCGCCCGCGGCGCCGCGTCAAAAAGCTTCGCGCTGACGCGCTGCGACGGATACGTGGGGTCAGGCCTTTAGAGTAAGCTGCGTTCCGACGCAGTTTTCTGACGGTGTTAGCGGAGCTGGAACACCATGTCCGGTTTCAGGTTTGGTACCAGTAGAAAGAAATCAAACAAATCTATCTCAGAACACTGCGGTGAATTACCTCAGTGATGCGCTTCTTCTTTCTATTCTTCTTCTGTCTCTCATTTCCCATTGACAGCAATTTTGCTGTGCCAAACGTCGCCGCAGACTGTATGCTCCGCCTCTTGGCAGGTTCCACGTTGGTGGAGCTGAAACACCCTCCTCGACATGTTTAGCCCCTCCCCTGTTTTCAGGGGCGAAGCTCCTCTTAAAGTCTAACCTTGTCCTGCGTCAGGCGTAACCGGCAGTATCTCAAGAGTCGCGGCGGCTCGTGCTCGTCGCCGGACAGACGAACGGACGTTTCGCCCCGCTCATCATCATTCACTCCGTGGATATGCTGTGACTTTTATATGTGTTTTCGTGGACGACACTTCTTTTTATTCATTTTATTTAACCACACTGTGTGCCCTCTCTTGAGCGTTGTTACAGGAAGGGCATAATAAATAACTCCACGCGCAAACACATAACGATGGCATACCAACAAGCAAAATTATAGTTGTCACAATGTCTGGCTAAAAATACCTGAAAATTATATACGTCACTTGTTTGCGTGGCTTCCTCTGGCAAACTGTTCCAGAAGTTAACGGCATCAAAAAAAAAAAACGAAAAAAAAAACGAAACATATCTGTGCGGTTTTGTATTGGTTGCACAATGAGGGTATGAGCTGTTCGCAGAGGCCGTTTTCCAAGCCTCGATATATATATATATATATATATATATATATATATATATATATATATATATATATATATATATATATATATATATATATATATATATATATATAGAACTTGAAGGGAAGGCACGACAGGTCCGGGTATTTTCTATATTGAGTTAACTTGCAGATAGCACATAAGAAAACGATCGTATTTACTAACGTTTCGGCCGTGGCACGGCCTTCGTCAGAGAAGGCCGTGCCACGGCCGAAACGTTAGTAAATACGATCGTTTTCTTATGTGCTATCTGCAAGTTAACTCAATATATATATATATATATATATATATATATATATATATATATATATATATATATATATATATATATATATATGTGTGTGTGTGTGTGTGTGTGTGTGTGTGTGTGTGTGTGTGTGTGTGTGAATAGTCGCAATCGACACTTATGTCTTCTTGACAGTGATGCCATTCGTTCCCACTTGGTTCGTCTCTTATGGGGCTGAAAAGCTTCAAACGTGTCGGTTTTATATTCGTCTCACACTGTTTAGTAATGATATTCGAGAGCTAGAAACAGTAGATACATTATTGAGTAGTTCAAACAATCGAATGAGCCCGAGTTCACATTTGCAGCAGTTTGTCAACTCGACTTTTCATATATTTAGACCTATTTCTGCTTTTACAAGGATAAAATTAACGGTGCCCATGGTCTAGAGAAGAAAGAGAAAATATACAACCACCCGGTTGTAGCACGAAGCCAAAACGCTGGTCTACTGTACGTAAAGTTTCTTTCACTCCAAAGGTATCTCGGAATTGTCTAAGCTGCAGTTGCGAACAGTCATTGAAGGTGGCGGGTAACATGAGCTAGGGCCAGTTTGGCAAGGGGAGTGTCGCCATCAGGACGTTGACGGTCCTCGTCAAAAAAACGCACGGACCCGTTGTATCGTTCGACGTTAGTTCACCTGATTTATGCAGTAGATAGTGAGTAAAACAAGCAAGCAAAAAGTTTCGCGATCCCTTAAGTATTCGCCTGCGGCGACTCTAAGGCGAGAGCCATGTTTTTTCACCTTTTCAGTCGCTTGTTTGGTCCAGCTATGACGTCACAGATTTGATGCTCTATGACGTTAATGGTGATGACATATTATGAGACCGTCGCATGGTGATGATCTTCTGTGTTGATGATCTTCGTGTTCACGTGGATGGTCACTTCTGGCGTTTGATGAGGCATCAGATGTTTTCGCCCTGATAATGGCCTGAACTGTGCTGTTAAATGCACATGTCTGCTGCTGTCAGTGCTCCGGGGACGAGAGAAGAACTACACAGCTAAAACAAATTCCGCGGACTTGCTTCGTAACGTGGCAAACTTCGGCGCTTACATTACTGGTTGGCGGTCTTTCAATTCGTGCACCAATTACGCGCACGTGCTCGTTAGGAAGCACCTTCGAAAACTGTCAGGTCGTTGCGCAACGCTGTTCCTCGACCGGTTCTCTTGCTCTCTCATTTCATGTTGCCACCGCAACTGGGCCACCAACCCCGAATGTCTCCCTCTCTCTCGTGTATTCGTGCGACCTTCCTCGCGGTGCTGGTTTCCTTGCCGCGGATACAAGGAGACCACGGCTCTCCTCTCCTACAGCGAGTTTGTTGACAGACGCGCCGAGCGAACGGACGAAGCGCACCGCGCTGGCCTGTTTTATTTTTATTTATTTATTTTTATCCATTCTCGCTGTCCTCTCCCCTAC